TGTTACCTTCCAATTGATCTCGTATCCAGTCTCTGCGACGTGTTTCGCTATATCTGATCTTTCAGTATCCATTTTTCTGCAGAAACTTTGATGTTTCTTGATTCGTATGCTGATTTTTCTCCCTGTCTCGTCAATATATCAATTTTAGCAGGCGCCGCATGTCATGTTGTAAACTCCTGAGCTATCCAATTTGTCTTCCCTCTCATGTTGCGTGAGTAGACTTTTGAAGAGAGTTGTTTTTTCCTTCGTGGTCACCTGAATATTCCATTTTTTAAATATTGGCCGTAGTTTCTTGTGAAATATAAGCATGCCAGAAGTTGCGATAGGATGAGGGTGAGACTAAGAGTAGGAAGTGGATGGAGGGACCAGGACAAAACGAAGAGTGAGAGAATAACCGTTCCAAAGAAAAGTTGGTCATGGGAATGACTTCACGTGTCACTGATGAATTGTAGTTTGGTGCTGAGAAAGGCAATACTTACTGACGATGCCGGCGAAACGTCTGGGAATTTACCAAGTCCACGCTCCAACTCTGGAAAAGATCATGCATACTATCGAATCCGGACAAGGTGCATTCCTCTGGGTCTTTCTTCCAATAAGTTGCGAAAACAAGATCAAACAACTTTTAAAAAAATTAAGTTTACGATTAAGAGAAGTAATGTTTATAAAAAGCGCCCAAAACCAGAGCTGAGTCTAGCATAGATACAACTCCTGACCTAAATCACACGTGATAGGATCAAGTATAAAGGCCTGACCACAGATACTGTCGAGGAATCTGCTTTTTGTCTCATCTCCAAGAGCTAATAAAATGGTAAATTGTAGCAAAATTATGGACTATGACCATGCGAAAATAAGACAATTAAATGTCAGCACTTAAAAATTGGGCATCCCAAAGTCACTACTTACGCGCAATGGATTCTCGTTTAAGTAAGGTGGTTCCCCGTCCACCATCTCAATGGCCATGATGCCTAGAGACCAGATGTCTACTTTCGGTCCATACTGCTTGCGAGTTACCACTTCCGGGGCCATCCAGTAGGGTGTGCCTACCATGGTTGAGCGTTTTGTCTGATCTGCTGATAATTGTGCACAGAAGCCGAAGTCGGTAAGCTTGACGCTGCCATCAAGGCCGAGTAAGATGTTGTCAGATTTGATGTCGCGGTGAATTACATGATTCGTGTGTAGAAAGTCGAGTGCTTGCAGGCACTAATAAGAAAGAATAGGATAAAGGATAAAAGGAAAACGATATAGTTAGATGATAGGAAGCTTCAGATTATTTTATATTTTCTAGCGCTGCCTTTTGCTAAATGCTTAGTATCAAGTCTAAAAACTTTATAAAGACATGAATGTACGTAAAAGGCTGATTACATAGGCATTACTTTTACACTAGCAGCGTAATGCTTTAGTGGCGTATATATCAATGAAGTTTTGTAAGCAAATTATGCTTTATGGAAAAGCAGCAATCTAATATATCAAAATCTTCTCAACTGATACAAGCCAAATTCATAGTATAAGCGAGGCTTGGCCAAGATGAGTCTAGATTCAAAACATTTCGTCCTATGATTTCATGCGCTGTAGATTTAGGCGTTTAGAATTGTGGGTTTTTGTTCCTAACTCAGGGCATAGCATGGTGAGGTAAGGCATTCAGTTGACTGCCTATT